AAAATTTTTACAAGAGGTCTAGTAGGGGACCTATCAACCCTGAGTGGATTACTGATTTCTTGCATCTTAAAAACAATACTTTCATCCAGTTCCTCTATTCTAGTATGATTGTTCTCTATTCACAGTAATAAAGATTAAAATCTTGGATCAGCAGAAATAGCATCCAACACCTTGGAGGGTAAGATTAAAACAAAATAAAATAAAAAATAAAATAAAAAATAAATAGACAAAACCTTGTCTTCAGGTGTGTAACTTTATTCATCTGGAAAAATCTGGCTTTGGAATTGGAAACACTGTAGAGTGCCTATCTTGAAACAGCGATAGATGAAAGGATGAATCAAAGCCACGTCACAAACACTTCAATGTTTTCATTCCCAAGTTGCTCAGGTTCTCTCCTTCAGCAGAAACATAATGAGTTTGCAAACAATTGTATCAAAATAAAGCCTCCCCACTTAACGGCTTTTCATTCTTGAGGTCAACACAGGTAGAATACATCATTCAATACTGTCAAGCATGACAGCAAATTAGAGCACACCAAAAACATATTAAAAATGGAAGGTATTTTCCCATTGAATTCAAAAGATTCCTGCAGTGCAAGGTATTTGACAACATTTGTTGCATAAGAATTCATGCATCTTTGCTGACTAATGTTTTCAAACTTTATTAAAAATCAAAAGTTTTTGTAAATCTCTTAAAAGTTCTGTTTAACTTGGGAGAAGTGTAGCTCTGGGGTTTTTTTAAGGCTGCTTGGAGACAGCTCATCAGTTGGAAATTCCTTGCCTCTTAAATGACACGTCTTTATGTCCGAAGGCAGTGAAATTACATCACTGCAACATCTTTCACAAGGTCTGCAAACTATTTTCAGATTTATGGATGTGAGCAGACAGATGCACAAAACTTGCCTACTAAAAAGGAAGAATTTTTATCAAGATGATGGTACACTGACTAGCATATGGTAACACAAAGCTAATTTGTAAAATCATTAGTAAAATTAGAGGAAATCTTACCTAAATGTAAAAGTAGAGAGCTGTGTTAGATAAATACAGTCATTAACATGCACATACCTCACAGATATTAAGTCTGACCAGTCAGTACATTCTGCCAGTTTAGGTGATCAAATTCAAACCAAGGATTGCTAACAAGCTGCTGGAATTGCCATGTTTCAGTTTATGTTACAAAAGGAAACAACAAAACACCATTTAATTCTGAGGAGACATTAATTTTTCACTTGCGCATTGTGCATTAACAAGCATACCTATTCTTAAGTGAGCAGATATCATAATGTTTCTAGAATTTATAAGCAAGCATGTGACTTACTACAATATGGTATTAGAGTCCATGAGAACTGTGTAGATCACAGAATTACAAAAGCCTGTACTCTTGCACCTTCTTATGTGCCAGCTTCGATCAAAACCCCAAGAGGCTATTCAGAATTAAGGAGCCATACTCCTTGCCTAGAAAAACATTAACATGCTTATAAGCTGAGGTTCCTTATATCAGCCTCAGGGAAGCCTGGATCAGCCCCTGGATCAACTCCCTGGCTGAACAGTAGAAGTCTTTGGAAAGAAAGAGCTAGGAAAGAACATGGAAAAAATCACATGCTACTAGAGAACTGCTAGGTTTTCCTTAGGGTTTTCACTCAACCACACTTCCCCCCTGCAATTTATTTGCAGTAGCACCAATCAAATACAGGTGAGAAGGCCTCCAAGTGAAATCCCAGGCCAACTAGAATTATTAGCAAAACTCCTGCTAACTTCAGCAGGGTCAGATTTTCACCCCACAGACCTGGGACCACATTGAGCAAACCACACAAAACAAACTCACACTTCAGAGCATATTCTAACCTTCTCTTTCTACAAGGCTATTTTTAGTAGCTAGAAGTACATAATACAATATTTTATTTAATATTTTATGGATTGAAAATACTCTTTGGTGCATTTCAGTAGGATTCCTTTATCCAAAGGGAATTCTCAGTTTTAGAATCACATTCCACACAAGGTTTGAAAGAAGCTTGAGCTAGTCCCACAAAGTTCACATCATCAAAACATTGTAGCTTTCAGTATCAGCAAGCTCTCGTTACTCTTTTGGCAGCAATAACTGAAAACAAGGTCTAGAGGGCAGTAACAACAGGAGTGTCGAAAGGTTAAGTGTACCAAAAAACTACAAAATAATAAAGCTGAACTCTACAGGTAAATAAAGGAGTTACACCAAGTATCACTGAATCAGGCGGAGAGGCATTGGACTAATCAAGTCTAACTAAGCTGATCTTTGCATGAAAATCACCAAGGAAAAATAACAAATACTCCAAAATCAAACATGGTAAAGTAAAAAATAATCACTCTAGGTTTGCAGAATGTCATTGCTCCATTATAATCTTTGAACAAACTTAACAGTATGCTATCTGTATACTCACCCCTGCAATAAATCGTGAAGACCAGCTGAACCTTAATTACTTCTTATTGAATCTGTATCAACATTTGGTCTGTGAAATGAACTGCAGGCTCAACACTGAACACTCACAATTCAGAGCTGCCAGCGTGCACTAATGCTTAGTAGGTTAAATTTCCGCCCAAATCTTCAGTTTAATGGCAGGAATGGGAACAGTTTCCTGAAGCTAGAGGGATCAACTTCTCTGAAAGCTGCCAGCCATTCTTCCTCACACGTATCTCTAATAAAGGTTTCCCAGCAGTTCTCTTAAATAGCAGAGCAAGTATCTCTCCAGATAAAGAGCCTAAGGAATCTTTCCTACTCTCAGGTTAGACAAAACGCTGTTATTCACAAGGCATACTCTCCCATTAAAGGGCGAAACTTCTGTCTGGAAGAACTTGATTGTGTTTGTGGAAGGGAAGGGACAAGACAGGGATGCACGCATTTTCTCCTCGCATTCAGTACACACGCACACACGCTTCATTGCTCGGTTTCTTTTGTACTGATGCAAAATCAAAAGCTTTTAAGAGGATTTTAGATGCTAGAATGTAAAAACAGAAAACAGCAGGCTCTTTCTTGAATGTTGCTGAAGCAGTTGCAAACTGTACTAAAAATACCTAAGGCTGGGCCTTTAGGTATTTTTTCCTGAGTTGCACAACAGATATTACAGTTCTGCCTTCTTTCAGAATATGTTTAATGTATTTCTAAGCACCAAAGCCATCAAAAGAGTAATCCAGACAGAATTTCTTTTAAAAGCATTTCCTTGTGCTATAGTAGTAATGACAGCATTGACTTTTCAACCTTCTTTCCCACACCAAACAAGCTTTAAGTGATTTTCCAGATGTTACTTGCTCAGCACACCTTCCTGTAGCCATGTACTCTTCCTGTAGTTGTGCCAGTCACATCAGTATACAACAACCCTTCAGTCAGTTCATACTTTTGTTATAAGTATAGCTGCACACATTTATTGCCACAGCTTTTCTTACTCTGTCTCTTGATATCTGGAAGAGATGATGAAGTAATCTAGTTGAAAGAATCACTCCATTTAGCAGAGACTGAGAGTGCTGTTAATGAAAACATCTAGTAACTGACTCCCTTTGTGTTCCTAGGCGTATAAGGAATAAGAATTACCATCTGTGCAGTCACGTCATTCCTTTTTCTCCCTTGCTTCTCATCACTACTATATTATCCCACTTTGTCATGTCACAAAGACTTGTGTATTGATCAAGTGACAGCAAAATAAGATGTCTGTAAGAAATACAGGTAGCAGTTCACAGCACCTTCTGCGTGCTAAGTGAAAGGTAAGCAAAAATAGACAACAAATGCATCTCCCATCATCCTTAAATTAATAGCCCCATTTGATTTTAATTGCATTGGTTGCATGCTACTTCAAAAAGAGCTAGAAAATAATGGGCTATGAAATCCAGCTTGTTTTTTCCATCCATTCAGCACGTTCTAGAGCTATTTCTGATCTACTAACAGACTTACTCCCCTGGGTTTACCAGTTGCTCTTGTTCTGCCTACTGTCAACTGAAAATGTATGAAACATCCTTGAATGCATGAAAAATGATTTTTTACAACACTGTAGCTTGGCAGACTTTTAAAAATAAGTTGTGTTATTGTAGTCTTAAAGCTACAACCTGTCTGGAAGGTTTAGTATGGATAAATATATAAAATGGAGATAAAGAATTTTTCTCTCCCCAGATTGTTTTCTCTTGCAAAAGAAAGGTAACATAACTGAGCACCTAAAAAATAATCGAGACTCTAATCCTACTATAGCATATAATGAGAATTCTGTTAAATGCTGTCCCCTCTGCTGATAGTCAAAGCACACTGGAGGTAAGCAAAGTCTAGGCTGGAAGCTTCCTTGTGAAAGCTTTCAACATACTATTCTATTCAGGACAGATGAATGACAGTTCTAAATCCAGCAAACTCCTTAAGATCGGCTGGAGCACAGGGACATTTATAGAGAGTCTGTCTGCTGTCACTGTGCCCCACCATTGTCTGAGGCTCGGCCCTCTGCACAGATTTGGTGGAGCTGACCTAGAGGAGGCCTCCCTAACTACTGAGCTTTATCTGTGGAACAGAATCACACAAAATGTCCATTTTTTTAAAATATTAGATCCAGTGATGTGCAGAATGTTAAGCATCTTCCCAAATAATTTTCTCTGAAGACAGTAGTGATTTTTGAGCCTGAGTTTTATTTCCAGGCAGGCAAACAGGTGCTTCAGCCTTTGAAAAAGAAATTGGTGCGGGATCTGCAAATCCATCTCAGATTTAATGCCATCTTCTCATGAGTAGTACCATGCTATGTACATGGTAAGATGTACATTTAAGACACAGTAGGAAACACATTAATGCATGCACGTACAACACAGAACTTTCCTATCGTGTTTTCATAGGTAAAACAAAGCTTCATTTCTAAAATGCATATATTGTAATTCTAACTATTTGCATATACTTAAAAGACATTACTTTCCAAATCCCCTGAAACAAAGATTCAAAAAATATAGCACAAAACAACAGCTCATCGAGTCCAGTGTTTATAAGCAAATACAACCATCAGCACCAACCTTGCATAAATGTTCTAACGCTCTCATTTCCAAGGCCAGTATTCATGACGAAGCCATGGTCCAGCCCATCTGTTATTCTGTATTTCAACAGCTTGTGTGGACTGTCTTGATCCTCTGCCTTCAGAGCCTTACTAGTGATCAGGAAGCCCAGATGCCCAGCTGGAAGGCTTCTCAGAGTAGGGGCACCCTTGTTCACCACTAATTGTGGCACCCTGTTGTCCAGTGAGCTGATCTGAATCCTTATCATCTGGGGTTGATGGATGTCCTTGCTAGTGTCAGGGAAAACAAAAGTTTGTGTGGGTCCCATCTGTCACAGAGAAGCAGAAACTATCCTGGCTGGTTTCTATACCATCATGTCTGTAGCTGATAAGGTTCTCATTAAAGTCTTGTTTGGTAAAGCTGGTGACTGGGTAGCTGCTGTTGAGCAAAATGTGGCCATGCACCAGAACCGGAGTGACCGTGAATAGGAGTAAATGGTCAGGCATATCCCTGTCTTCCACAGTCAGCTCAAAAGGGGTGATCAGCCTGGTCTCCCCTTCATCAACCACCAGGTCACCAATAGTCAGAATTGGCTTTTTATTCTCCACATCTGTGATACAGACTCTGAAGTTATGGAAGACTGGGTTATACCCACCTGTCACTTCAAACTCAAAACTGTCAATCTTCACCTCATCCTCTGCACTATGAATGTAGTAAATCTAGTTGCCAGCAAGTTGGAGTTGAGTAAAGGAAATAACGGGTACTCCACAACTGTCTGAATTCTCTAGATGGCCCCAGGTTGGGTGCCGGGTGACACTGAAATGCAAACTTTCATCAGGACTGTTAACATCACTCGTGCTGAGCACATCAGTTGTGTCACCTTTCCACCTTCTTTCAGAGTTACACCCTCGTTGATCACCTCAGGAAAGACCCTATCAATGCTGCCAATGGTAATATAGAAGTACCTGTCTATCGGGGCATTAATACCGTCAGTAACATCAAATTTAATCAGATCACGTACTCCATGTAGGCCAGTATGAATGTAGCAGATAAAACCCTGATCTAAATCATCTTGTGTGAAGTTTGTGCCTTGTGTAATGTTACACGGCACTTCCTCTTGCCTGTTCAGATGCTGTAAGAAACCCTGCAAAGGCACCAAATGGATAACATAAATGAGGCTCTTGTCCTCTGAATCGATGTTGTGGCTTTAAGGTCTTGACTAGAGATGACCTTAAACTTGCCAATCTCTAGTTCCAGACCACTGTTGATTGCCATCCTGGGGGTCTCATTATCTACCAGAATCACCATAATCGGCACATTCTGCTCCACGGTGTGGTGTCCATTAGTCAGCCAAATTTGGAAGCTGTTTTATTTTGTCTCCGAGTCATCGTGTTCATACACAATGCTGGAAGCCTCCTGGATCTTCTCCACGGTGAAGCTGTGAACAGACACAGTGCCTGTGGACAGCTGCTGCACAATCTGCCCATGCTTAGGAGTTACAGCAATTACAAAACACAGTTCATCTGGAGGCATGTCTGTATCAGCTCCGTTGAGGATGGGGGTGTCAATCACCAGGCTCATCCCCTCAAGCACCATGAATTCATGCACAAACAGCTCTGGCTTTTCATCATTGGTGGGGATGATGATAATGGGGAAGAACTGGTGAGGTGAGAAGTTAACACCATCAGAGCACTGGAAAGTGAATTCATCCTCCAGAGGACCCATGCCTTTGTGAATGCTCTGCACATAGTTGACACGGCCCAGACAAACATCTTTGATGGAAAAAGCACTAATAGCAGTACCGGCTCGAGACTTCTCAGACCCTGGGGCTGGAGAGACATTCTCCAAATATCTGGAAGTAGACTGAACTGTGACAACACACGAGATGTCTCTGGGAGTATCTATGACCTCCACATCCAGCTGATCCAGATTTAGTACTCTTCCCTCCCTCGAGGACACTGAGCGTCTCTGCTGCAACCATCACTTCAGGTGCAATGCTGTCCACAAGCAATACAGTTACAGCCACATGCACCCTTTTTACTGTGCTGCCTGCCACTACCCATTCACCGGAGAGGTCAGAAATGGTGAGACTGAAGGAATCATACCTCTTTTTCAAGCCAGTCTCTCCACTGGTGTGAGCGTAGGCTACTGCTGCACTGATGAGGCTGTGCTGGGTAAACTTTTCTGATCGCACTCCATCCACGAGGACGTGACCGGGCTTAGGTGGATCCTGCACAGTGAAGGTCAGTACCAAGTCATCCGTGTCATCATCTGTACCCTGGATAAGTGATGTAGTAATTGCAGTAGCACTATTTTCCAGGACACCAATGGCTGCTCCAACCTACCTGTGACCACCAGGAAGAGCAATACTTGGGTTTTCATCATCCATAGGCTGCACAGCAATCTTCAACGTGACTGGCACATGATGGACTCCATCACTCACTTTCAACTGGTAAGAATCACCGGCAAACTCACCACCGCTGTGCTTGTAGGAGATGCACCCACCCGCAATATCATCTAGCAGGAAAGATTCCCCTCGCACCATCACATCCTTCTCTAGATAAAGCAGATAGCCATGCTCTGGAGCTCAAGTCACAGGGAAGACAATCTGGTCTACAGATGTGTCCTCATCTGTGGCATCCAGTTGATTGCTGGCGAGAAAGAAGCAGTTTCCCTCCAGCACAGTGAAGCCTGTGTTGGTGATCTGATGTAGCTGGTTGTCCATTGGCTGCAGGAAGAGAGTAAAGGTACCTTGTAGAGAATTGCCAGCTGAGTCCTCTACAACGAGCATGAACCGAACCACTCGTGGTGTGTTCCCCAGCTCCTGATCCAGGGGTCGATGTGCCACCTTGTGGTGGTTCACCTAGGCTTGGGTGAAAAGTGTAATGGACATCTCAGGACTGTCAGCCAACACAGTATCTCCAGTGACCACAGAGTGGTTCTCATCTGTGTCAGCTGGGGGTGTCAGTAAAGCATACTTCAACTCCCTGTCATCCATATCCAGGTCAGTGTACCGTAAATAGTGCTTCTTAAAGACAGTTAGCTGGTACTCCTGCACTGTCATCTGCAGGCTGGTACCTGGGTACAGTGCAGGTGGCAGATTGTCTACCAGTTGGACTCTGACAGCAAGCACATGCTCCCCTGATTGGTGAGTGGGATCCTTGTCATCCTGCAGGTGGAACACAATGTGGCCCATCACCAGGCTGGCGCTGTGAGCTCCCATGTGCCTGAAGAACAGCCTCCCATCAAGGATGTCCTGCTGCAGCCATTCACTCACCACTCTGATACAGGTGTTCATCCTCCACAAAGTGCCAGGGGGGAGGAAGAGGAGTCACTTTCCAACTCTGCTCCACTTTCTTTGCTCTCATAAGATGCTGGTTGCTCTACCTGATGCAGCAGCAGCTCACCAAAGCATTGGAAGTGTAGTAGGGACACTGCTGAGTCCTCAGCCAGGAAAAATCAGACAGAGGTATCATCAGAGTCAATGTTTGTGGCACTGAGGACAAAAAGTGAGATTTGGACAGTCTGGTGCTCACTCAGCACCAGCCCTGTATCTGCATTCAGCAGCGGTGGCTGATTGTCTTCAGGAGCAATGGTGATGGGGTACAGAAATTCGACCTGGTGCTGCCCATCTGCCATGTGGAAAACAATGTTGTCACTGTAGCTGTGCTCACTGCCATCATGCTGGCAAATCACCTGCCCTGCTGCTAGTTCTGCAGCAGTGAAGTGCTTGAGGCTGGACGGTATGCCCAGTACCTCGGTCTTCCCATATTGCAGACACTGTGTGACCCAGACCTTCACCTCTTTCAGATTGTCCTCATCGCTGATCTCCAAGTTGCCAGAGAGGGGCCATGACTGGCCCTCGAAGAGCATCAGCTGTGGGCCAACCACATGACTGAAAGCGGCCACAGGGGCCAATGTGTTCATGGGCTTTACCAGGATGATGAAAACAAAAAGGTGTCGAGGAGGCACTTCCATTTCCACCCAGAAAAGCCACTCCTGGTCCAAGTCCCAGGTAGCGGGCTGGCAGGCTATCTTCAGCTCCCTTACCTCCTGCTGCGAGAAGGCAACGAGGGGGCAAGCTGGGGTCATTGGCGCTGACAGGAAGCCTTGCTGCCGTGTGTCACTGGGCCAAGAGCAGGTGAGATTAAGAACCAGGAGGTCCGGGGGGGGTCTCCGGGTCCTCAGCAGCCAGCACGTCCAGGGCGAGGGCAGTGAG